AAAACTTAAATTAAAATAAAATTAATTATTTAATATCAGATGGGTTTTGTGGATATTACAGTAATTTTAATGGTTAAGATCACGAGTCAGTTGAGGCTAGACCACCATGGAAAACCGTCCAGTGCTTCCGGGTTTTCCATGGTGGTCTAGCTTCAACTGACTCATGATCTCAACCATTGAAATTATTTATTTGTAAATTAATATTTTGAGGATATTTACTGATATTTACTACTTATTTATCATAAGTAATTTAAAGTTTGAAAAAAATGTTTAAGAGTTAAATAAATAAAAAAGATATAGATTTGACAAGTGATTGATTAATATCTTGTTTGTTTAATCTTTTAATATGAACTGAATTCTATCAAATAAACTGTAATGTAATTACAGGCTCAATGGACTCTCGTTTACACTGTGATCGATAGAATTTGATTAAAAAAATAAAAGATAAAATGTATATGTTATTGCTTAACGAATTTTTAATTTCTCAAAAATACAAGAGATTAGTTATTCCATGAAAGTCCTATACTACACAAATGGATGAACTAGGTTAAAATCCCATAGAAAACAAAAATTCATTCAGGATTATAAGCAAGCCTTATTATGGAGTGCCAACTAGTATGAAACAGATTTTTATCTCCAAACACCTCCAACTGTCCAATATATATATTTGATTTGATAAAAATGTTATATGTATAACTAAGAACCGTATTTCTATTTCTCAACTGAAAATTTCAATCCACTGCAAATTCGAAGTTACTTGAATTGTAGGCATTTATATTATAATGGTCAATGATTATAAAATAATAGTTTCTGGTTGAATCGAACTAAATCGATTTTGGAAAGTATGGTAAATAATTATATTTTAGATGATTGAATAAAAGCAATATTATCGAGACACGCCCACTTTTTAACTATTTTTATTCAATGAAGTTATACTAATGAATGATCTAGACTATTGCAATTCAACTTGAGAATTTTGAATGACATTCTACATTCGACGGTGAATTGAAAGTTTTAAAAATTTATAAATCATCACAGAACATTTCTTTATTCTTTCTTGTCTCTCGATATTTCTCTTTTCAACTCTATTAATATATATAAATATACTACAGTATCTATAATTAAACAATGAAGGCGTTTGTTTGCGAATTGTTAAAATGATATAATTCTATTTCAAAATATCTATAATAAAAAATTGATTTTTAAACTTTGTTCACCGGTAAAAAGTATTCAAAATGGTGCCATCTTTATGACACAAGAAAACAATATTTAAAAAAAAAAGTTATACACAACGTACAAATGGATTATATTTCTCAAGTTTCAATCGAAATGAACAGTAAAAAGAAGTTCAAATAAATAATAAACAATAAACTTTGTGAAATGATTATAAAAAGATTGAGGAATTTTGATTCACATAACCTTGACAAAAATTTCAGTTCTTGGTAACCATAGTATTTTGTTTGTTTTTTTAACGTTATATATCACACCACTTAACTGTTATGTAGTTATGAAAGTTAACAATAACATTTAAAAATGCATACGAATACTGTCAGAGTAATATAAACATATCAAGATGCATATTTCATTAGCATAAAATTACTTAGTTGTACCAATGATTATGATTGTTCGTATAGTCAGATGTGGTACGATTTTTATTTTATATGGATGAAGTAATAATCGATTGAATTCAAAGAATTCAAACATGAGAACTGATATATATATATTTTTTTGAAGCTGTTAACAGTTATCTGTTAGTTGTATTCATTACTGAATATCCGTTATTGAGAAAGTGATGGTCTGTTTAAAACAAAACACTAAGTGTTTTAATTACAAAAAAAAAGAAATAAAAGCTTAAACGAAGGAGTTTTGTTTTACCAAGCTTTTAAATAGGCTCCCCCAAAGGAAAATCACATAAGTTCCGGGATTATTATTATTATTAAATAAAATTATCATCAATAATTGCTGCAATTAATGTATATTTTTAGTCACAGATTTTGAACGAACTATATTCACTATAAGAAATCATTTTCATCTTTCATTCTATATAGTCAAGTTTTGTCGACGAATGTACAGCTATACTACTCATTTAAAATATTATGATAAAATTATATTCTTCACCAAAGCAACCAGTAATGAGGCCACAGGTTTTAAGTATTTGTTTTTTATCAGACAAGGAAGAATACATGGGTTATGATATCGAAATCTATGCTCATAATGTTACAATAAGGTCAAATGTATCATATGTATATATAATGATTCTCGAATGTACCAAAAACTTAGACTATTTGTTTGTTTGTTTGTTTTAAAAACATATCTTTACAAATATTCGTTGTATAAATCAACAAAACAAAATAGATCATTTTAAAATGATGGTCAATTCAATCGGTATGACTTTGCTACACATAAACCTTATTTATTGTTTGTTGATAACTGAAATAAATAAAATCGTATTTTACAGACAGATTGACCTTATAACAATCAATATAATTTTCTTTTTATCAAAAAAATATAAATTTAAAAATGAAACCATGAACCATTTTCGATTGAATAAAATTTCAATAAATTTTCAACGGTAAATGAGATAGTCAAAAGTAACTATACTTAAATAATGGAATTACATCTTTAAGTGTTGCCAATGGAGGTATGAAATTTAGTTTTTGACTAGATATCGATTATTCTTAAATGTCAGAAAGATGATGAATATGATCTCAACAGATCTGTTGCCAGTTAAATCAACCTTATTTAAATAACACTGAAATGAATGAAGTGATTAGTACACTTATGATCATTATAAGCAACCTAGTAAGTGCATAAATTTTGACTAGATACTTTTGTAAAGTTGTCACGTATTAGTTCTCAGTTATTAAACTTTTATATATTTAAATAAGCTCCCATGTCCACAGAAATGACCATGAAATCAAGAAATTGATAATTAATAGGTGATCACTTCTTCTTAACCACTTATTTAGGTTTATTCATTTTATTTACAGATGATGGTTGAAAGATAGATTTAGATAGCAGAATAATATCCATTAATGGATTTGACACTAGGATTTAATGGTCTGTTGCTAAATCCATGTGACCTAATTAATTGTTATGTATTGATCTCACTTCGATAATGACCGAAGTATTAGTATCTTCAGTTATCAATCGAGCATAAAAATAATCTACAAACCTCAAGGAATATGAAACGTCTTTATTACCCTTTTAATTTGTTCTTAGACCGCTGTATAAGTAGTTTTCAATTTTCTAGCTTATTTTTGGACTTATTTAGTTCTCTTTAAAGATAGTTGGCTATACGGACATTCGAAAATATCATGATGTTTAATGACAAGAATTTCGAGTTATGGTAAAATCTATTCAACTTCTTACAAATTATAAATACACAGGTGAAACTCAACAAATGTCAGTAGAGCTACCTATAGAATCGTTTCTCTATATTGTGATTTAATTCACTACACAAAAATCATTTTACATTGACAGACGAGGAGATTAACTTATATGAATTGATCAATTTTTATTAGTCAATGTACAGTTTCATAGACTCTAGGCTATAAAACAACATTAATTTGGAAATCACTTCATATAAACTTAAAAGTGATATATTAATTGAATAGATAAAAATTAGTTTCGTATGTAATCTCAACTGAATACCAAAATTCAGGTTGATAATAACTAAACAAGTTGTGAACTGGTTTGTGTGATATAAAAACTGGCTTATCTGTAATCTCTGCATCATTAAAGTAGTTATATATGAAGATAATTAGTTGGTGACACAATTTGCCATTCACAATTTTCATAGTTTAAAATTTAAACAATACTGAACAGTTTATGAACGTGACGTACAGTCGATAGATATGTCAATGCAGTGAATTTATTACTTATTAATCGGTTATTAAAAGCAAACAATAGTTTTTCTTAAGTTATCATGAACTTTCGCACATACATGAAACTTACTAAAGGGTGAGTAGAAACTTGGTATCTGAATTGTGAACGCATTTTTAAAAGTAAACTATATACTAGATAATCAGGATAAATCAGAATGAGATTAAGTGGTTTCAAACAAAATTGTAAATCGTATTCCGTCAAGTTGATTATATGATTGACTTGTTCATCTTCAACACACTGATCAAGCTACCAAAATTCGTATTCAGAAACCTAACCTTTGTACTCAAAATAACCTCTGCCTTGATCGTCGACATAGATTAAATAAGCGAAGCCTACAGCAGAACTATGATTTACATTTTCTAAGCTTATTTCACATTTGCGTTCTTGTATAATTTTAAGATTAGTCTCTTTCGTCTTACGTTAATATTATTAGATTCACTTCAAATCAAAATAGTTTGCAAATTCTATCTTTGAATATTATGTTACTTATCAGCCGTTAAATTACATATTTTTAATTTTTACAAATAATTGTCTTGGTTTATTCAAATATTCGTCAGTATTAGTACGAATAGTTTGACAAAAATTGGGCGCCGAGTATAGAGAAGACATTATATGCTTGACCTGAAGAAGTCCAGATAAGTTCGCTAGACGAAACGTCTGAATTATTTAAATCTCAATCACTGAAATTATTTCAAATATAATTTTCACATATAGATACCTTGATTGTTTGTAATTATTTTATCCACCTCCTGTTAGTTACTTAGCTATTTAAAGTCAGTCTCGTAATTACTTATTATGCCATGACATAATTATGTAACACTATAACTCGAGTAGTGTAGATTCATGATGAAAAACTAATTAAAACAATATATTTTACTGCTCTTCGTTTTTTTAATAAGTAAATAAGAATCTATAGGATGAAATGAAAATTATAATTCAGATCTCAGTTTACACTAACTACCAGTTACATGACATCCAAATCAATAAAAGAAATAATTTAAAAGAAACTGTATATTTATAGGGAAACATTTATGTTAAATTACAAATTGAAATTAGATGTCTGTTTATAAGTACATAGATATTTATCGTATTTGTATGTAATATATGGATGCCTAAATTAAAGTGCCCAGCTGACTTAGTGTATAGTTCATATCTCTTCTCAGTCTGCATACATAACATGAAGAACACCATATCCATTGACAGCAGTCTGAAGCTATTCCACCCTATAATGAATATAACAATAACTAGTCAACATGAATTTATAGCTGTAATCTAAAAAACATTTTTTAAAGTGAAATCTCAATTTATAACTGTTAACTTATCGGCTCTTTAAAGAATCACCTGACATTGCTGCTTGATATACGCTGATGATGATGATGATGATAGCTGGAATCAATGGAATAAATTTCTTCTGGCCAAAGAGAATCACCCACTCACCTGCCTCTTCAGAAATGTCCATTTTATTTACAAAAGATGATTTTATGGTAGATATTTTCCATAATAAAGTATTCAGCGGACCGAGTTTAAGTTTAATAAAACCTCATTACCTTATTATTAGAATTCAACTATGAACGTTTGATTATTGTCTATTTTACAATGTTTGTAGCAAACTGTTTAATAAATACGTGCAAAGGTCAATTCTTTAATGAACGGGTTTTAAATGCAGATAAATGTATCATAAAGGTTTCAGTCTCGGTTCATTATTTATTATGTATGTACTTACTAATAACGTTTATCCAGGCACCTTTTAAAAATATACCTGTCTTTACTTTCCAGAGTGTGTTGTACAGCTTATTTATTGCATATTTGAACGGTAATATCCAAATCTAAACAGTAGTTTATACAGTGAATCGCAAAACATGCCAAAATTTAAACTCTAACCATTCATTTTGTTTGTCTGCAAAATCATTATGAATGGAAGATGAGGCCATAAATAATAGACAAACCATAAAAGTCAAAGATAGCAAGTCTTGGATTTTGGCTCAAAGTTCATTCATTCATACTCTTAAATGGAATTTTAGCATTATTGTTGATTTCAGTTGGTGTCTAGTTTCTAACCTTAACTTCCAACTCCAAATCCTAATCTTGATTCCGCATACCCTAGAAAATAGTTGATTTCTTTTCAAGGTTACTGTAGCATCACTAAAAGATGGTCCATAAACTATAGTGTTATCGAATGGAATATAATATTCCTAACACATTCATTATTAGAATTTTTTGTTATTCCGTGATCATGTTTTACGCAACGTTCACAGTTTTAGAATTAAATACAACGTTAATGTGGGATATTTTAACATGGGATCACAAACTATTGAAATCACATGGCAAGATATAACTTTTTATGTATAAAATCTTCTAATATTCCATCGATTTTCTATCAGATAAAATGTGTTTTAGATTTCTTTTTCTCTTTTCTTATAAACTTGATGAATGATCCACCGTTTAAAGAAATGGCACTAGAATATCTTGGATTTCTGTAGTCACATTACATTGGAATTTTAATGTTTGTCTTTACATTATTAAACGAATTCTGACATTCAATTCATACTTTAATCTCAATGTATTTTGCCGTTTTATCACTTGACAAAGGCTTTTTTGATACTGCTTAATTCAACATCGCACATTTATTAAAGCGATATATGCTGTATGTAAAGATAAAATATTTTTCATTTCCATGAGTATTTCAACGTTATTATTGAGGCCTAACAAGCCAGTTTAATCTTTCTATCATTTGTAAAGTGCATTCTTGTTATTAGTATATGTATATGCAACTCAAAAATGCTCTATCAACTATCCATCGAAAAGGAATGTTCAGGTTCTTTTAAAACCACATTTTCTTATATTAATTTTGCTTTGTTCCTATTTAATTGATATAAAAGTGATTAATTAGGCTTCTTAGTTATTTTAGATAACATTGCTTATCTGTTTATATAGTGAGAAGTACTTTCCTAACTAAAACTCATAGATGATATGAGTTTAGAATGTTTCCACTTACACTCAACTTAAAGTCTGTTTGGATAATTTTTCTTGTCATTATTGTATGAACTAAGATTGATATCAATAATCTTGAATAATGATTCATAATTGAGAAAAATACAACACGATAATAAACTCACTTTAATTCTTTGACGTGCACGATGCTGTGTTCCCAGTACAAATTCAGATGCCGGTACGATTAATGGTGCACAACAACATTCTCCATAATCACGATACATTAAACATACTGAACATGAATAACAGAAAAATACACAACAACCTAGAAAAAAAAGTGAAAAAATTGTTGTGTAATTATTAGGTTGGAAGAAAAAACAAATACTTTCAGTTTGTGCTGCTTAATTTTGATCTGCTAAATATACATCTATCATATGCATGGGTATATCTTTTGTGGCTCCAAATCTGACTCCAGGTTGATCATGTAAATGATTGTTACTGAAATATACATGTCGGCTATCCTAGTATATAATTATTGACCTAATCCACGTTAGTGAATAATGGAATTAAATAAGTCGAATACGAGAATGGATTTTCGAATACATGTATTTGTACACTCATTGATCTGGACAGATAATCAGAGGAACAAAGCGAAGGAAGCAAAGAGAAAAGAGCGGGGTTAAATGACGCGTGAACCAACTCAATTTAATCAAACATGAACCAATATTTATAGCCAGATAAAAATAAGTTACAGACATGTAATGTATAGGATAAGAAATGAACACACGCATACGCTCACATAAAAACAATCAAGGTTGATAAGTGAATTATTGACAAGGTTAAAATGTAGCTTAGGTAGAATAAATAGACTGATCTATCCAAAGGCTGGAATAATCTATGTAGGCTTAACATGGTATCTGACACTATACATCTTGCCACTACACATTGCAGAATAATAAGGAAGATAAAATAAAGTTAAAAATTTAAGCTGTAAAGTTTATGAGTGATTTATCACAAAAAATAATTGCCCTCTTCATTCAATACAAATAAAGGAGTTACTTGAAAGCCAAAAATAATCCAACATCTGTTTAACTTTTACTTTTCTAGCCTAATAAAAGAAGAGAATGGTATGAAGTAGTAATTTCAAGCAGGTGATATCTTCCGAATAATGTAAAGAAAATAATCTAGTCTGATGAAAAAACTCTGTGTTCTAAGCATTATATAAACATAGGAATTATCTAATTACTGAGATAATAAAGATAATGTATTGCATATGCGCAACATTCAATTATAGGCCATAACCTGAGCACTTAATTTAATTTATACCATATAAATATCTGATTGCCATTTGATAAACGGCAGATGTTTTGTATTTACTTCGATAGTTGATAGTAAAATATTTGTATACTTTGATATAAGTACACTTCTTTATTGGGTTCATTCAGACGTCTTCGTCCAACATAATCAACCTCCAAATTACTAGTGTATTCTTTGGTACAATCTTTAAAAACGATTACTCATTTATTCATCAGATGCCTTTTAGTCTGAAGTAAACTATCCGTGATTTATTGCCTTACAAGTATCTATTCAAGGCTTTCAAAACTACAGACTTAAACTGATAGACCAAAATTAAAAAAGTAATTGACTTAACCTTGTTAGAGGTAATATAAACATTTTAATGTGCCGTTTATCTAACAGTTATATTCTTGTACGCATCAAAATACACTAATTTCAACCGTGTCATTTATGTTACTTAATCATCGGATTTGGCTGTTTAACTGATATTAGTAAATAAAACAATTAACTGTATGGGCTAATACGAATGAAATCAAAGTTAACCATTTGAGTTCTTGAATAAAGATTTGTTGTTATTGATTACTTTCTATCAGTAACCAGCATAAATAAACACTTAAAAGTTTTCGTTGATCAATTAAAAGACTGTTTTTCGTATATTCAAATTACATTCACATTGAATTTACATTGTTCCATGCATATATTTCATATACAACCAGTAGAACATAGAGAAAGAATACAATACTATTCTGCACAAGATATTAAATTGCTCTATATATAAATATAAAAGAAATTAGGATAATGATGTTGATTGGTTAATCATAGTATATTAGAAATGCAAAATTGTTTATCAAATAATGTTTATATATAACTACTTAACTTTATCTAGTTTAGTTCATTGAAACTAACGAAATTAAAATTTAACAAAGAACATCTGTTGAACCATTTATTTATTGAAATAGCCCCCAAATGCCCTGGTACGGCCGAGAGCGGGGAGAGTCTGCTCTCCCCTCTCGAAATGCTTTCACATGGCCACACGTATATAGCCTCTGCCAAGGAAGTTATACTCACTGCATTCTCGTGGCGGGCATGTTGTTTAAGAAATTGAGAGAACGAAAAGCGAATGTCCGGCGCTTTAACAGTGTTAATGGACATGGAGAGTCCGCCTAGGGGAGTTGGAAAACCCTGACTCCAAATCAATGGTGCACTTGGGCTCCAGTATCCTGAGGGACCAAATGGCGAATGAACCAATCGTCGGTCACCGGCTACCATGGGACTGCATCTCCTTACGTTGCTCCACTGCCTTGTGGATCAAACCATTAAATCAAAGGCTCCGGGTGTGGCACCCTAAGAAAAACACCTTCTTTGGTTTGGGCACCCGGGCAGTATCACAGCCGCCACACGTATCAAATGAGATTTGTGTCGCGCATATGTATTTGGTGCCTCCCTGTACCAATATATATGTATTAAATAAATAAAAAAATAAAACTATTGGAATAATTTTATATTTACCGCCATAACATTCACTATTGAAACATGTTGTAATATTGCATTTTTACTCATTAATTACTTTTCATATTTATTATTTTAAATATTCAACATTTACTACTTGAATCAACAAAGTTAGTAAAAAAAAGAATCTTACTTTTAATAAACTGATAGTCAGACAATAAGTCGAATACTCTTAATAATTCCTAAGTCACAATGTTTGTTATTTACATGATTTCAGCTTTAGCGCATATTTAAAATCTAAATATGATGGATGTAATCCAGAAAAAAAATTCACATATCCTACATAAAGAGAATTTATATCTCATTTTAAACATTCATATGAGTTTAGTAGTCATTTTGTTTTCTATTAAATTAGAAGATAAAACATGAATGGATAATAGAAATTAATGAATTCCAAGATATATGTTTCATACTATTTGTGGTTAATCAATAAATGAAGTAAATATCATTACTAGAATCAACAAACTGACGAATTTCAAATAAAATGTAACAGACTTCTTGAGTTTTACTACTACTCATTAACTATATTTACTTAGAAACTTAAAACTCAATAAATACAACAAAGTATTATTGTCAAGATATAAATATTGCCAAAAGATCCTAATGAAAATTTAATCAATAACATCAACTAAAAAAGATTCAAAGACTTACAGATAACTAATGAATAATTTCAGAAGGGGTTTTTGTAGATATTATAGTTATTTCAATAGATGGGATCATGAGTAAATTGAAGCTAGATCACCATGAAAAACCTGGAAGCACTAGTCAACCGTTTCGTCCTATTGTGAGACTCCTCAGGAGAGCGCATCCATGATCCCACCCCACAGGATTTGAACCCAAGACCTATCAGTCTCGCGCGTGACCACTTAACCACTAGACCGTTAGTCTAGTGCTTCCAGGCTTCCCATGGTGGTTTAGATTCAATTGACTGATGATCTCAACTATTGAAATTAATGAATAAATCACTATTTGATATAAATATATATGCAAATATAAACGTCATTTCGAAAGTCAGAAACTAATCGTTGAAGTATATTGATCGAGAAAATTTTATAGATCGAAATTGTTATACAGATAATTGGCAGATAATTAAATCATAGATATTTACTTAATTTAGCAATATCATTTGAAATAAAATATGAACTGAAATAACTATCAAATTCACTAAAATCATAATACAATCTGATAATTAAGTATTATATATTTCAGCAGTTGAGATCATGAATCAGTTGTAGCTAGATCACCATGAAAAACCTGGAAGCATTGGACAACCGTTTCGTCCTATTGTGGATATTTGTAGATATTTGTTAACTGGACTTTTATCTGACCAATAAATTATTTCTTTTCATAGCCCTTGGTTAATAGATAACCTCATTTGTTATTTAGTCTCGAATCCATTTTAGAATGCAATCTTTTCTATCCTCCTATAAACATATATTTTTCATATTAGATAATCTATTGAAATCTGATAACCAATTATGAATAGATCAATTAAGATAAATAAATTCTTGATATTCATTAATGATTTTATTAGTAAACGTTTAAGCTGATCAGTTAAATTCATCTTTCAATTTCTTAAATCATTCACGATAGACAATATCAAATGGATTAATTTGTTGACATTTAAATGGTGTTTTACAAATAAATTTAGACATCTTTCATTTAAGATCATTATATCAGTATGCTTTATCTTGACTTGCTTTAATTAATAGTAAATACGACAGATATTATTAGTAAATTGGATGTTCATAGATCAAAATAGAAAAAAATATAAATAAATGTATCTAAAAATCAATTAGGTCAGAGCATCAACTGTCATGTTTACCACTTACATCAACAGAAATAAGTAGTATGCAAAACCAGTCAGAAGTGTAATGTCTGACAGCAGAATCTTAAAGACATCGAAATAAAGAGAACAGAAATGTAAATAGAGAGAAATATCGACAACAATAAGAAAGGAACAATGAGGTTATTGAAAGACAATTCATGAAAGATTGGCAAATGAAGAATTGAACGTATGGTTTTCACATTTAATGGACGAAAACTATGATTTTTCATTGGACAATGAATTGAAATTTCCCAGTTGAGATTTCGCTCACAAAAAAAAGCGTTAGATGGAAACCTTCAGTCTCAACTTTCTATTAACAATTTTTTCACGGTTCTAAATTAACATTTTATTGGCGCTCAAAACTAATGTAGTGAACAAGAACACAAGAGATGACGATTAAATGTATTTCAACACAAAGTTACAAAATCTAAGTAAAATCTGAAAACTACACACCAAATAATTCGGTTGCATAATCTAAAGCAATTCTCTCACGCTTCATTGTTCATTCGCTTCCAAACCAAACACACTATGTTCTCGTTCTCTTCTCCTCCTCCATCTTATTAACTTTCTTACAACAGACATTTCATTCTCGATTGATGATACATACTACTTATATCTGTCGACATCAGTAGCACACAACACAATCGCATCAATTAATAACAATATACATATCAATTCCTCATCAATACTAATCTCTTGTTTATTCAACTACACGATCTCAGTTGCATAATCTATCCAAGTATGTAGAGATTAGGAAATATATACACATATCTATAACACTGTATGATACAATTCCAACGAAGCAATCCCATTTGTAGTAGATCTAAGGTGGGAGAATAAAAGCTTAATTAAATCATTAATCCAAAGATAATAATTGTGATACACATTCTTTTCATCATGTTGACTGCAATGTCTATCAATAACAGACAAGTTGCATCGAAACTTTCAGTTGACTTTACTTATTTAAGAATAAAAGATGAAAATTACATTTTGTTTTCTTGTTTGTCTTTTGCCTGTTCCTCAAAAGATGTAAACAAATCGATAATTTTTTAAAATGGGAAATGAAAATGGGATCGTTTCTTCTCCAAATATCAAAATGTGATACATGTCAAACAATTGAGCTTCTTACAAAAACATATTTTTATAAATCTGTTTAGTTTACTATTACTGCATAAATAAATAAATAAATAAATAAATAAATAAATAAATAAATAAATAAATAAATAAATAGACAAACTTTGTATTCACATGGTATTGTTTGTTTGCATGAAACTTCTCATTGATGATTACGACTGCATTTGATCAATCTGTTATTAGCATATGTGCATAATGTGTGAGTTGTCTCGTTGTTGCCATCAGTCACAAACATTACACGAATTTCTAGAGTCAATAACTATCATGCTCCTAAAATATGATATGTGTGCTCATAAATAAATCTTTTTCTGACAATACTACATTAACAAATTTGAATGTCGGCCAGCTCAATTGTCTAGAGCTTAAGCGTTCGCGTGCGAGACTGATAGGTCCCCCGTTCGAATCTTGTGAGGTGGGATCGTGGATACGCACTGCTGAGGAGTCTTACAATAGGATGAAATGGCCATCCAGTACTTCCAGGTTTTCCATGATGATCTAGCAACTATTAAGCTTTTATTTCCGTGAAATTAGTTCTAATAAATTGAATACGCCTTTTTACTATTAAAAATGTTATAAGTGAGAAAACTATTAAAATAAATATAGAAAGTTATCTAGTCTACTGAACAGTTTGTTGTATATATTTAATAAATATAACTAATTAACTGACTGATCATAATTTTCTTTATTATTT